GCCTATGTTCCATCCACTAGCTCACCTGCCGCTCAACCATCTCCTCCCACTGGAAATCAGTGAGTCGCAGAATCCCTACTTCCACTCACCCTCCCAGAATAGGTAATCCGTACCTGGCGGTAAGCGAAGCAGCATCAGTGCAGATCTCCCTTTTTCTTCTAGTGTTAATCACCTCCTCTTTTCTTCCGCTGTGCTCCTAACTCTGACGTCCCGAACCTCGCCTGCAGCTCACATAGTGAGCTATTCATATCTGAGTATAGCCTAAATAAACATCTTTAACTGCTTCTTGTTTTCAGACTGTTTCTGCAAGTGGGCCAGACACCTTAAAACCTTGAGTTTCACCCAGTTTAAAAGGTGCAGCTGGAAAAAGCTAGCTTTGACAACACAAAGAACAGCATTTATTTGTCGTTTGAAGTTCAGATCACGGATGAAGACAACTCCCAGGTTCCTGACGGCAATGCTAACTGAACCCCTGTTCCTGGACTGAACCTGAAGGACATCCCTGGAACCAAAAATGATGAAGTCAGACTTACTTTCATTCTGGAGGAGAAAATTCTGTGTATAGTTTAGTTTTGACAAAGATAGAAGATCCTGAACTTTAGGAAACTTTACCTTGAGATGAAACACTTCCAACACTCTGGTACATCATGAAAATCATTTATCGCAGCAGCACAACTTGACCTTTTGCTAACCTTTCCTCTCATCCAATGATTACTGGAGCTAGGCACTGTATCTCTTCCTGTTTAACCTGATGCTCTTTTGGAAAACATGGATGAGTTCTTTTACAGTGAGAGGGAGGTGACCAGAAACCAGAAACCTAGCAGGAAGCAGTTTCCAAGGGAAACCCAGTATGCAGCGCAACAGTTGGAGTGTTTGGCTCTGAAGTGGGTCATTGGTACTGAAATATGTCCGGCTTAGAAGGGAAACGGACCAGTAGGCCATGCAGGGAAAGACGCAAACAGCCGAATAACATCACTGGTCTGGTTCCTGCCTCTGAAACTGAAGCAGTTCTCCAGACCAGGGAGCTAAAGAGGACGACCTTTTTCTTTCTCAACGTTGTTTATTTTTTTCATCTTTATCCGTAAATTTGATCAGAAGCATTTGTCTGTATTTGACCTTTAAGGTACAGCTAGATTGTTTTTCAAAGAAATGTTAGCCTGTGACTATTGTACCTCAATTAAAGTTCATGTTATCGATTTATTTTTTAGACATCTGTACCAGGGGTGCTGAAAAGGATACATTTCATGTTTAAACTATTGTGGTGTACTTACCCTTGATTTGAATAGGCAAATGAGATAATTTGCCAATCAAATGAGTATTTTTACTCTTAAAATAAGATAATTAGATAATATGCACTTGAAATAAGACAATGCGGCTGTGTTTCCTTATTTTAAATCTAAATTGTCTTGTTCCATTGGCAAAATGTCTCTTTTATGTCCTCAATTTAAGAACAAATGCACTTATTTAAAAAAAAAACGACTTATCTAGATTTCGATTTTTTTCCAGTTAGGTCTCTCTGGAATCACTCAAAATGAAGAGGAAATGCCACCAAACATGACAAACTGATGCAGTGAGCAAAGAGGGCTCAGGCCAACAAACAATACAAAACAACACATCAGGGGTTCCCAAAGTCGGGTTTATGATTGTGCTGTGATCTCCGAGATGTATGAAGGGCCCATAAATATAATGAAAGACAAAAATGCAAATGTTAACAAATGTATCAGAAAATATGTAACTTTTAGGTTTTATATGGTATATATCATTTATTTTGCTTTCAGTATTATAGTAAATATATAATCAAATTATGAAATGCATAATTAAATAAATAAATGTTCATAAAATTTTCTTTTTTAAAAATAAATATATTCCAAATTATGTTATTTTAAAGGGTCTGTCATTTTTAGGGCCAAAAACTTTGGGAGGTACGGCCCTAAATCATCCATGCAATGTTTAATACAATGTATACATAATGTTTATGCCTAAAATATCACAAATAGTCTAAATTAAAACTTTGTGGAATTTTTTTTTTTTATCTGTCAGAATGTTTAATGAAAATATCTGTCAGGACTCCTGTTTTTGTGTTGTGTTTCTGTGTTTGTCTCCCTTCATCCACCAGGAGGCGCCTGG